GAGACAAATAATATATATATATATATATATATATATATATATTAGCGAACAAGTCAACATTATCTACCGCGTTTCCAATTTCGATGGTGCCAAGTCTGTAGGTACGGAGTTAAGTAACCTTAAGTAAGTAAGCAAGTAAGTAGAGTAGTAGTACTTTCGGATCTAGGTACCTTACTTTGCCTTGACATGTTACGTATCATAACAACAACAACAACAACGATAACGATAACAACAGTGACAACCTCGCCTCTATACTGTAGCCTCCTCCTTTTTTTTCTTTTGTGATCTCTGCATGCGATAATATCAATATCAAACAATATCAACAACGAAAAAAAAAACCCCCCACTGTAAGAGCCCTTCTTCGCGCATTCCACGGCCACGGCCAGAATCCACCTGTGGGATCCATCCGCTTACGGTAGACGAAATGTTTGCTTCCCCTCGATGTAGTCTGAATAGGTCTTGGGATCTTACAGCTCTTACTATCACTATGACCAATTTCTAATTTTAACAATGAAATTATTTTTTTCTCCTTCATTTTTTTCCTTGTCAAGTAAATTCCAAGAAATTCAAATCGATCGAAAAAGTTCCCTGTGAGTCTCGAGAAAACCACGTAGACTGTAAAAGGAAAGGAGAGGAGAGGAAAGGAAAGGAAAGGAACGAGGGTCATCGAATACCATTTCATGCATCGATGCTAACTACGGTTGCGTTTTCTATACCTAGCTACCTGTCCGCCTGCCTACGGTGGGCCGCTGTGCAGACATTATGCATCGACCGAAGAAAAAAACGCAATTATCTACAACGCGCTCGCCAAGTATTTTCCGCCCCTAACCATAATATCTTCCCAATCAAGGATTTCCCACCACTCCTCTCATCCATCTACGTCTCAGTTCCTCAAAAGAGGATGTTGGGGTATTGCACAAAGTAGCGTCTCCCCTTCGCCCATAGAACAAAATTCAGAAAGCAAGCCGCTATGTATCCATCCGATTTTCCTGCCGCGCCGAGACATCATCTTGCGCTTTCCATTACCCCCCGATAGTACTCTAGGCTCAAATCCACGGTGTGCTTGAGATATTTGTCTTCGGTGAGTGGAAGTCTCAAGACGTTATGAATATTGTTTTTCTGTTGGGTATTAGCATTGTTCCCAATGTCGAAAGCAGGGGTATGTATGGCTTACTTCTCCCTTCTTGCCAATAGCAATGACAGTCTTAGCAACCACTCCACTGATGGTCTCGATGGCAACCGTCTCCATGAAGCTCGGATGACGGGAATCCTGGACTACAGCCGGAAGACCGGCAAGCAATCTCTCTACAAGCAGATCGTCAACCGCATGCCCCTTCTTGTCGCTCTGGAGGAGCTCCAAGAAGTCTTGATAGATCTCTCCACCCAAGTGCCACTCCGCGATCGAGTTCTTCTTATCCTGGAGTCCAAGAAGTAGTGCTCTGAGAGTGTTGTAGTCGAGTTCAACAACAGCCTGCGGAGCAACTTGTCTGGCAAAGGTGCGATGAGCTTCATTGAATGAGCCAGCTTTGATCAGGCACTCGACTTCACCAATTGGGTTTCTCTCTACACTTCGCATGTAAAGAGCCTTGGCCTCCCAGATCCAAGCTGCCGGGATTTGGAAAGTCTGTGTCAACGTGGCAAAGCTTTGACTGTCTTCCGAGCAGATAAGCCCAGCGTGCTGTGCAAGGTGATCTTGGATGGATCTTGCTCTGGCCTCGGCCGAGGTGAGATGTAGAAGGACAAAGACTGCATCGAGCCAGCTACCTTCACTGGAAAGCTGGGCAGCAAACGAAAGGGTGGTTCGATCAGCATTTTCATCGGGGTTATCCGAGTATTGAACTTGTCCGGAAGCGATAAGAGCTCGGCTGAGTTGCCAAGTAAGACGGACGTCGAGGGGAGATAGTTGAGAATTCTCGGGTCGGAGTACATCTTCAACATTGACCTCGTTGTTGTATGCATATAGCTTCAGAAGACCCCACAACAAGTCCTCACGCTGCTGAAGGTTTGCGTCGTCCCACAAAGCCGGTACCTTCTGCTCCACATACCACGAGTGAGGTGTAGCAGTTTCCCTATCTTGCGCGATGTCTTCTTGGAATTCTGCAACGGCAGACTCGAGTGGCTCCTTGGCTGAGATAGCGTACCAGAGTCGGAGTCCGAAAGCTTGTCGCCAATCAAGCCCAAATCGCTTGGAAATGCCAAAAGTAGCCATTTCGCCCTTGGAGCCAGCACAGACACACACGTTACCAGCGAGAAACTCATAAACAGTTCGTACAGGCTGGCTGAATTCAGCAAGCATCTGTGTCTTTTGCCAGTCATCGAGCTGTTGACGCATATCTTTTCTGATGCTGTCCTTGCTACCGATCAGAGCAACAAGAGTGGCCAGGTGGTAGTTACCGCTGCTGACGAGTTGTCCACATGCATCAGGAATTCTATGACCCGACAGGGATGCAATAGCCTTCTCCTCGTTAGACTTAGCGAGAGCAACATGCTTGGAAGTCGACTCGTCCACTAGCTTCTGCCAAAACGCCGACAGGTTGTCCTTTCTCAAACGATCCCGAATATCTGGAACATGCTGAAGACTCTCTGGGGGCTCAATAGGGTCAAAGAGAACACTAGCCAGCTGCCAAATAAGCTTCTCATGTGTGGCAGCTGGGTTCGAGGCAGCACCATCGTCGAAGAAATCGTCGAATGAAAAAAATTCGGGGAGTCGAGCACTTGGAACACCGTCCGAAACATCAAACAGGGTCATGTCTTTGTGTTTCTTGAGCAGAGTGCCGGAGGCCTAGATAATTATTAGATTACGATATCAAAGGTCTTGAATTGGCAGACTCACTTCATTCGAGAATTTGGCGAATCGGATGTCTCGATGCTCTGATACGACACCCCCCTTCTGGATCGTAAGCAAGCCATCTCTCTCACGAACATGGCGGGATGATCGTCCAAATGGCTTTGTGCTTTGTGGAGCGGCATAAACCAAAGTACCATCAGGGCCCCACTGAGGCTTCATGGAGTCGTGAAAAGCACGGTCTTGCTCTGACATATTCGACATGTCTTGGTCACCGGTTTTTGATCTCTTTACATATGGCCACTGCGACACAGAAGCTTTAGTAACATTCTTTTATTGATTTACGTACATGACTAGGCGCAACAATAGGCCTCGATATCCTCATCCCCAGATCGGAAGATCAAACTGAAGGAGAACTAACCTTAAACCCCTCTGGCTTTGCTGGAACTTTTGCCGCCTTGATCGGACTGTACGTGCCGTGCAACGAGTGCATCAGATCAATAGTGGTTGCGAACCCACGGTTGTCTGAGACAACTCTCCGTGGCATTGGTGTTGGCGCTGAGTCACCTCGGTAATCATCACCGTGGATCTCGATCATGCTCTTGAGTAAAGCTCGATCCTGCTTCTTGGGACTCACTGTGGCTTGCAAGGTGATTGCCCAGTCGTCAGCTGCAGTGAACTTCCGCTTGAGAGGCGTTTCCGAACTCTTCAACAATCTCTGTCTTGCTCTCAAAACCACACCGGGTGTTTCCATCGTGACGTCCATATCCTCGTCATCGTCTTGCGAGTCATAGAGCTCCGCGGTATTGCCAGCCACGGGATAAGAGCCCGCCATCTCTTGATCCACTATGCTGACAGATTCACCATCTTCGTAGACACCGTCTTGATCCATTGGCTCTTCGACGCCGCTCTCCGACTGTGAACCCACGGAGCGCTCATCTAAAAAAGACTCCTCTTGCTGCTCCTCGTATTCACCGTCCATATTCTCGTCATCGTAAAGCTCCTGGTCATCGAAAGCGCCAGGGAGAACCTTCTTTTTTCTGAACGCGAATGTGTCCTCTGGATCGGACTCGTCGTAGGTCATTTGAGAATCGGAGGCAAAGGACTCATCCAAATGAGCGGACTTGGGGGTAGGTGCGATCGGGGTGGGAGTTTCTGGCGGAGCACTCAATGTACTCTGTCCAAACTCGCTAGTAGCATCAATCTCCTCCTCCTCCTCCTCCGGAAAGCTGTAAGTGGTGAAATGCTCAACAGTGAAGATCCATGCTCCAGTATCCTTGATGTAATCAACGAATGTAGTATCTTTGACCTGCTTGAGCTTTTCGATGTGCTTTGCGAATCTAACGTTGCTACCTGTCTTGCCTCGAGGCCATGAGTTCTCTAGCGAGATGAGAGATGGCAAATTCAGTCCCTTGCCCACTGGTGGCTTCTTAGCAGGGTTTGGATACACTGTAGCCGATCTGGGGACGAGAACGACGATGTTATCATAGATGTCATCAAGGTTGATGTTTGTGAAGTCGACGGCTGACTTAAATGAGACGGAGCCAACACCATTACGACCAACGGTAAAGCCAGTGACCGCCTTGCGCTCTTCGCGAGTCATGTTCTCAATCTCCTCTCTTGAGGGCTTCATCCAGTACTGTCCGACTTCCTTGTCTTGCCCCGGATTTTGGGAATTCGGCTGGGTGAGAGCGGTCTCCTCCTCATTGACAATAGTCAGCTGATTATTGGCATTGGTAGCTTGCTCAGTCTCCACAGGACTGGAAGTGCCTGTTCGCTTCTTGCCATTGGCACTAGCTGGGTCTGAATTGCCACCGATATTGTTCACCTGCTTTAAGGGGCTATCAGAAGATGATCCGTGACCGTTGAGTGTAACATCAGCGCCGAACGAGACCCGCTTCTTGAGAATGCCACCTTGGATTTGTGAACTGTGCTGTGGGGACTGGGCGGCCTCAGGGGGACTGAAAAGATCTTGGTGGAGACCTCTGCTAATCGCAAGCCGCTTCACACTGCCAGTGCTTCCAAAGTGTCTGTTGTTGGGGCTAGAAGAGAAAGCACCGGGAGCCAGGATACTATCTTCGGTGTTGAAGCTTCGGCGGAGACTGCTGGTGGACATGCTCTTGTTGAGAGAGCGACCAAAGCTACCACCAAGCAGGCTACCACTAAATGCACCTGGAGTGCTGGTTGTGCTGGAAGAACTGCTGGGTGAGTTATAGTTGCTGTAAGAGAACCCAAAGCCAGGGCGTTTCTGAGGTGTGGAGAAGCGAGAGCCCGGAGTGGAGTTCAACTTGTACATCGGGAGAGCAGCACTCTTCTTAGCCTTGACATTGCTGGACAGAGGAGTGGCAATGGGGCCAGGATTATTGACTTGAGTTGAGGCCAGGTTTGCAAATAGCGACGTAGAGCCAAATGCAGTATTGTCGTTAATGCTAGCCGTAAGAGATTGAGGAGTTTGTTGGTTTTGCTGGGATGTGTTGAAGATGGAATTGCCGCTGCCGAACATGGAATTCTGTGGCTGCTGCTGTTGTTGTTGCTGGCCGGTGTTGGCCGAGCCGCCGAACAGGCCGCCGGATTGTTGAGCATTGGTGCTTCCGAACAAGCCACCAGTCTGTTGCTGTGTTCCAGTAGATCCGAAGAGACCACCCGGCTTTGCTTGGTTGTTGTTTGTAGCACCAAAAAGACCGCCTGTGTTTTGTTGCTGGTTCTGATTCTGGTTGTTACCAAAACTTCCAAAGAGACCACCGCTACCAGTGTTCGTGGGTTGTGTGCTTCCAAACAGACCTCCTGTGGCTGCTGGCTTGGCACCAAAAAGGCCACCAGTACTCTGATTAGCAGTTGAGCCACCAAATGGGTTTGTATTGGCAGCTGGCTGGCTGCTTCCGAAGAGGCCGCCAGTGTTTGTAGCCGCAGGTGTAGAGCCAAATAGACCGCCAGTAGCAGGCTTGGCTTGGTTTGCTGCACCAAATAGACCCCCGCTTTGCTGGGTGTTGCTCGCACCAAAGCCACCAAAGCCAGTACTTGCAGCAGGCTGTGCGGCAGCAGCACCGAACCCAGTTGTGGTAGCTTGCTGAGTATTGTTCCCGAACAAGCCGCCACCGCCGCTTCCAAAGCCTCCTGTCGTTGTGGAAGCACCGAAGCCCGTACCGGTAGCTGCTGGTTGAGATGTACCAAAGTTAAAAGGGGTCTTGGCAGCATTGTTGTTTCCAAAGAGACCACCAGTGTTTGTAGTAGCAGGCTGTGCTCCAAACAGACCTCCAGCTGGCTGGGCCGCAGGTTGAGCTCCGAACAGGGTACTGGTATTCGTCGCCGCCGGAGTAGAGCCAAAGAGTCCACCAGTCGCAGGCTTTGCGCCAAATAGACCACCACTTGTTGCCGTGTTTCCAAAGCCGGTCGAAGCAGGTTGACTAGTGCCAAAACCTGTGCTGGTTCCTCCTCCAAAGGCATTGGTCGTCGCAGGCTGCGCGCCAAAACCGGTTGAGGCGGGTTGACTTGATCCAAAACCACCAAAGTTTGTTGCACCAAATGCTCCTGTCTGGTTGTTGCCGTTACCATATCTGCGGCCTTGGGCGTAGTCTGCTAGTCTCAATTCCTCTGGTGAAAATTTCTGGTACGGGGGCTGGAAGCAGATACTTTGGAAGGCATTCTGTTGGTTCGTGCTGCTGTTGGGTTCTTTCTCGACAAATGGTTGGAATTGAGTGCTTCCAGTTCCCTGGCACTCTCCCACACCTGCAGTGGTGAGGGCTGTCGACTGAGGGGCTCCGAATGCGCCAGTGGCTGCGCCTCCACCAAAGGGAGAGCTGGTAGCTGCTCCTCCGAAAGGGTTGGACGGCGCTTGAGTAGCACCAAAGGCAGGCTTGTTCTGGGCAAATAATCCACCACCGGAATTGTTTCCCCCGCCAAAGGCAGTAGTTGTCGAGTTATTTCCTCCGAATCCCCCGAAACCAGAACCCCCTGCTGTAGCAGTATTGCTCGTCCCGAATAATCCTCCACTAGATGCCGCGGCACCAAATCCGCCAGGCTTCGCTCCAAAAGTATTGTTTGTAGTGCTGCCAAAGCCACCTGTAGATCCCAAAGTTAGCGTGTGTGCCTCGACGTTGCTGTGAGAAGAGACCTGAGAAAGCAGCCCTTAAGGGAAGACGATTGCGGCGATCAACCATAGTCGCTGCAATAAAGATGTAGTGGATAACCAATATTGAAGAGAGGATAGAGGACGCGAATGCGCTTTTGGCTTTGACATGCACGCCCGGAGAGCGCAGCGCACATTCGATTCGAGAACGATCCAGAGCAGAGATTCGGCGACATACCTCCAGAGCCAAAGGCACCAGTCGTCCCAGTACCGCCGCTTCCAAAGAGCCCGCCACCCGTGTTCGTGCTGCCGAAACCTGTGTTTCCAGTTCCGCCAAAGCCTGTCGGGCGCAGAGAAGGTTCGAGTAAGCGATGGGTCCACGCTGATTGCAAAACCCGCGATCCAAGACATTCTCTGGAGCAGAGACAAAGCTAGAAGTGAGAGTAGACGTACCTGTATTGTTGGTCGTGTTGCTCGACCCAAATCCACCAGCTCCGAAGCCGGTCTGCTGAGTATTATTGTTCTGGCCGAAGCCACCGAAGCCTCCTCCGAAAGACATGGTTTACGCAAGGAGGGGCTGTACTCGAGGTCGTATGTATGAAGTCGCGGAGACGAGCGCAAAGATGATTGACGCGAGATCGATTGCGCGCCACGAGAAATGGAGGTTCAGGTCGCGCTCAATGACGACAGGAAACAGCAGACATGAGAATTGACTAAAGAGGGACAGGAATCATCTGTGTCGAAAGTCAATGCAGATGAGCAGATGAGGTTGGTGAATGTGAAAGGGGGGATGAGGGTTGGCTGCCGTGGGCGACCAGAATATTATATGGGGTTACTGAAGCTGGCTGGGGGTGAAGTTGCTGGACTTAGGCTCCGCACGGACGGCCAATTATTTTCCCGCTAGTTTTGCGAATGACTGATACTACTGCTGCCTAGCGAACTCTGTGTCACCAACAAGTACTCGGTTGAACAGCGAGTCCAATGCCACGACTCGGGCTGGAGAAAGATTGCTGCCTGAGGGAAACGGTTGGTTGTCAAGCAATCGGGACTTCTTCTTGAGTCATATGCATACGCGCAAGGGACTTTTCTGTTTACTTCTGAGCTTGTTTTGGACTGACCGGCAGCGTCCACAGTACTTGTCTGGATCCCGCGTGCACAGAAGCAAGTCAATATGGATCCAGAGCTAGCTCTACGGAGTAAACAAACGTATTCATCCACCATATATTATGTACACCCAGTACACGTCCTAGGACTTACTGTTCTCTCATCGGGCAACCATCCAATATCAAGCTTACAGTATACACACATTACCGAAAGTAAAACCACCCCAATAACACCCAACGTAGCAAGTACCCCGGAAGCACGCTAGAGACGCGACTTGATCGACCTTTCATACCCGCACCACGCGTCTTCGACATTGTTGCCGCAAATCCAAGCACCCTTCACGACCCTAAAAATCCCACCCCAAAAAATCATCACAGCGATAGTGTACAGCATACATCGTACGTAGCTGCTTCTGCGACTCACCTAACTCATCATCCCCGCCTTCGCCGATATTTCAGCACCTCTCTCCATCCCCAATTCGCCTGGCGCAACAGTACAATGGCATCCACCGCCCACCCCTCCTTTCCGCAAAGGCCCTACTCCTCAACGCTACACGGGAAACTGCCCGATCGAGCGAATAATAATAACAACGCCAACAACAACAACAACAACAATAACGCATTCGGAGCCACCGCGCACCCCGTGACGAGAGAAACGGGGCGGCAAGGCGATCGTCAGGACCGCGACAGGGCGCAACGAGACGCAGCTACGGGGTCCGGACCGCAAATAACAGACGAGCAAAGAGAGGAGATAAACGAAGCAGTACGTCTAGTCTAGTCTACCATATTTCCAGAGGAATTGGCAGCCAGGGGAGGAATTGAACGGAGTTGCACTGCACAGCTCTGCACAGCACTGCACCGCACCGAGCTCTTTTGGCATGTCGTTATTGATTGATCAATTGGTACGGACGGGACGGGAGATCAGTTCCTCAAACTAACAGCAACCCAACGAAAAACAGTTCTCCCTCTTCGACCTCGACAAGGACGGGCGCGTCGACTACCACGAGTTCAAAGTCGCCCTCAAAGCCCTCGGCTTCGACCTCCCCAAATCCAGCATCCTCGACCTCCTGACCGTGCACGGCGTGCCGCCCCCGCCGCTGGCGCCGCCGGCGCAGAACCAGCAGAACAAGCCGTCGCGCGCACAGCACCCCACGCCGCCCAGCCGCCTCACGCTCACCCTCCCAGCCTTCCAGACCATAGCCGCGAAGCTGATCAGCGAGCGCGACCCCCGGGACGAGATCCTCCGCGCCTTCGGGCTCTTCGACACGGACGAGAAGGGCATGATCACGCTGGAAGATCTGCGGAGGGTAGCGCGGGAGCTGGGCGAGGGGCTGGAAGAGGACGAGCTCGTGGCCATGATCGAGGAGTTCGATTTGGAAGGGAAAGGGGGCGTAGGCCAGGAGGAGTTCGTTGGGATATGCATGGGCTGAAGAGCTGAAGAGAGGAGAGAGAGGACGCCTTTTTTTAATATTTGAAAATGCGCCAGGGATGGGATGGGATGGGATGATGGGGGCTTGGTCGGTGGTCGGGATGTTTATGGTATGGATACCCATTTTGGCATGCTAGGCACTTTCTATCTGGGATTATCTGCATGTTTTGAGTACGTACTCCTTTTGAGCGTGGAGTTTGGGCGCTCGAGTCCCTAGGGCATTGCGGATAGCAATCTTTGAATTCGTCACATTCACACCATACACATCAATACACTACCCAAGCCAATGTTCCTCGACGATATGTCCATCGCTCGTGAATTGATCTGATCTACCCCATCCGCCTAACAGTTAAAACAACAGTACATTCACCACACTAGGCTGTGCAGTGATGTTTCAATGCTAGCCACCGAAAGCCTTTCCGGGCAACGAAGTGTATCACTTGCAGCGTCCTGCTTGGATGAAAACTACCAAGAGAGCGCCACAGCCTTGGGAAAAAAAAGACCACCCGGAGCCCATATCAAATCCTACCTGTGCCCTCTATTCTGCATAGATCTCCTAGAACTGTATTAAGTCGCCCCCTCCCTGCCCATTGTTCTGTTGCGGTTTTTGACCAAAGGGGTTTGGGCTTTGCTGGGAGCCGTATCCACCACCGAAACCATTCGACATACCAGCGGGACCAGTAGCCGCCGGAACTTGGTATCCAGCAGCAGCGTATTGTGTTTGTGGCATTCCGGTGTATTGGGTCTGTAGGAATGGGTTGGTACCTGTCTGTTGACCAGTAAGTCTTCCCAGTCCTGCACCAGCACTGTTGACAAATGTGCCTGGTGCGGTATGCTGCGCCGGGATTCGCATTTCACCAGTGTTACCGAAGGTGTCCATCCCATCACCACTTGAGAGTAGTTGATTAAGTCGGGCGTGATGCGGATCTTGCTCTTTCGGTGGGGCTTGAAACGAGGTGATTGGGTTGTAAGAGTTGGTTTTGTTGAAGGTGGCAGTCTGTTGCTCTTGGAGTGTTGCGAGAGATGGCTTAGAAGCTTGTGCTGTTTGAGGACGAGCAAAGCCGCTTGCAAAGGGGTTGTTTGAGCCAGTTGGTGTTGGCTTGAGAGCCATGGGTTGAGTGTTGGTCGCCCACGGGTTGTTCGTGTTGGCGGGAACGACAAGTTCAGGCGGTTGCTGCTGGGGTTGTTGTTGTTGGAATTGGGTCTGCTGGCCGTAGGGATTGAAGCTGGTTTGCTGTGGCTGCAATTGCTGCTGTTGCGCATATGGATCGAAGCCAGTAGGTTGAGCTGCGAACCCGGTTAAGTATCCATTCTGGTAGCCGGTTGGCTGTGGCTGTTGGAAGCTCCCGTTGTACATGGTTCCCAAGTAGCCGGTCTGTTGCTGCTGCTGCATATTGGCGTCAATCGGATTGCCAGCCCAGTCCACCTGTGTTTGCTGCTGATATCCTTGGTTGAATCCCGTAGGCTGAGCAGTTTGAATAGGGTCGTCATCAAAAAGAGACGCAGCATTTTGCTCCTCCAGCTCTCGCCTCCGTAGCTCTTCCTCTTCCTTGCTCAACTTGATGGCCTTTGCCAGATCATCATCGTCAGGCTCTCCATTCCGGCTCTGGCGCCTCTTACGATCTTCCTCCTCCTGGTACTTGCTAGCCTCAATAGCAAGCTTGTACTCGGCATCTTCTTCGTCGGCGCGTTGAGCTCGGTGAGGACGTGTTGGTCGGCTTCGGGATTGGTCATGGTGAGGCTGAGGCTGGTATTCATCGATGCCAGTCACTCTTGACTTCCAGTTCCTACGGTCACTACGCTCCGCACGCAGTCTCTCTTCGTCAAGGATAAGTGATGTTAGCTCCTTTGCAGAAACTCGAACTGAAACCCGATTAGCCAATGTGGCGATTGTCCTTCCACAGGAGGGTTCCTACCATTCTGTCCAACGTCACGGCCGTCTTCATCGATATACTGGAATTCCCTTAAGGTCTTGATGATGTAGACATTCTTGTGTGCCCAAGTGACCACCAGTTCGGATCCCTCGTGAAGGCAGTAATCTAGGACCTTGAGAGCTTTCAAAACGTGCCGCCAATTCTTTCCTTTATCATTCAACCGTTTGTCTAGCATATCCATTATCTCGTAGAACTCGTTCGACCTAAGGCGTCCGTTAGACTGTGCACACTGCCAGCAAGCAAGTTGGCATACGAATTGAAGGTCATTTGAGCGATTTCGCTCATCTCCGTCCCTGTCGGTCCCCATGGATCATTACTGGTCGCTATGGATAGTTAGCTGTGTCCCATTAAGCAAACATCGATGTCCGTACCGTTCCGGACCTTCACCTGGACGGATGAGTAGCCCTTGGTTACATTTTTGACGCTGCGGATAACCTTTGACATGTTTGCGACGGGGCCCTGGAAGGATTACGAAGGAGAGGGATTTGCGGTAAGGATATCGATTCAGATAGAGTAGGAAGTGATGGGATCGAGGGCCGCAAGTTTGGTTGTCGAATCGTATGGTATCTTATTTTAATGAATTGTAAAGGTTGCTCGAAGTTGCGACGGGGAGAACTGCTAGACCCAAGGCCAGGGGTGTGTGGGTGACGTTCGTCGACCGACTGACGGATGACGATGCAGTTACTGAGCCCCGCAGCCGTGAACCGTGAAAAGAAAGTCGGGGGGCTGGATACGAAAAGGGAGGTACGGGTGATCAAATGAAAAGTGTAAATAGTTCTTTGACGTTGATTTTATCAGTGGTAGTGGTGGTGGCGACGCTCGTGCGAAGCATGATGAAGTTCGTGTTTGACGTGATTAATGCGACGGAAGAAGATTTCTCACTCTCTCTCACTCTCTCTCTCTCTCTCTCTCTCCAGAGCGGGTCATGTCCAAATCAGCCCGAAGAATTGCCGATGGCTGTTGGGTAGCTCCATACCTGGATATATCCGGTATACTTCGTCTTCGTATATAGGTAAATAGGCAAATTTCAAACTTTGATATCCTCCGTCGATCTATCACTATTGCTTTTTTCTACATGCAGAATATGTATTTGAAAGTCTCAGAGCTTCATTTCCCTGACAACCGATATGTATGTCATTTGATACAAGGTACATAGTATGGCTTCTGCCCAGTTCATAAACCTTCCCTATCCCTCGATCATGATTCTTAGAAGAGGCTGGTGAGCCAACGCTTCGATGTCCGTGAATCTACCGTACCTTCTTGAAGCGATCTATTTACGTCTTAATCACGCCAGTCCCTAATGCCCGCGAACAGCAGCAGCGTCGCAAGAAGCCGCAGTCGGATTGGTGATTAACTGCCGTAAAGTGGTCTCTGCCGGCGTCCAATTCATTCCGCGGTTCCAATTCCATTACACACACAGCTGGTTACATCCCATCCGATCCCATCCCACAAGCTTAGACGCAGCACAACCGCATGTTTCACGCGGGTTGTAACTTATAATGCTGATCACCCTCTCTCGTCCTCCCGTCCTATCTACGGTATGCATAAAAGGTTGATCGACGGTTGGGGGTGATAAGCGCCCTGTCGTCCCTTTGCTGCAACTCCGTACTGCAAGAATCGCCCACTTATCACGACGGCTATCCAATCAAGAGACGTTCCAAATTTAGATATCCTAGTATGTGCATGCTTCTAAGTAAACATTTCTCCTTCACAGTTTATTCGCGTTGAGGACCTTTAAGAACTCCGTATCATTCTATGCCTGCTGCAACGACAAGTCTTCATCTCCTCTGTCCCTCTCTCTCCCTCTCTCTCTCTCTCCCTTCTAGATGACTTCAGCGCAGAGTTGTCTCCGCTTGCAGACGAAGCTCAGAACTGCTTGTTTTGGCGCGGGGCTTCTAACCGAGCGGCTCGTCGATTCTATCCTAGGACGCCCGTGTCCGTAGTTCAGTCTGGATTATGGCAACTCTGAGGGAGGCAGCTCGTCGACGCTTGAACCTGGATCCCCTAACAACCTCGCTCACCCCTCCCCAACATCCCTCTCAACATCAGACACCAACAAGTTCGGCTTTGTCTGCGGCGTCTCTGAGCGCTCCGTTTGGCTACAATCCATCATCTTTCACCCCAGTTAGTGCCGTCCGGAACTCCTCTTACAACCCGGCTCAATGGTCGAACTCGCCCAACCTCACTCCAGACAGCAGTTCTCGGTTCTCATCGGGCCACTCCTCGGCGCGGCCTCAAGCCCCAGAGGGTATGAAAGCTCGCTCCTACTACTATCATAACTTTATATCCTGGGATCGATGTCAGAATATAGTTGTGGAGAAGCTAATTAGCTCGAACTAGCTGCTACGCCACCCCCTCCACCACCTTACAGCCCTCCAAGATCACAAAGAACGTCGATGATAGTATCTGAAGAGGCTTCTACTAGGATATCGCCTGCTACTCGACTCTCCTCTGCAACTCTTTACAGGTCATCCCCGGAGCCAGCTTCAGATCCCATCTTCCCCCCTCCTCCCAATACGCGAGCACGGGCTGCTTCGAACGATAGACCGCTGTCGCTGTTCAATATAGCCTCATTCTCAAGGCGAACGACGACACCAGAATCCCAAAGGCTTTCGCCAGAGACCATTAGGGATCATGGATCCAATCCTCGCCGGCCAGTGCCCGTGTCGATTGAAGCTCCGCCCTCAGCCTCAGAAGAAGAAGGCTCGTTAAATGTGGAGTCACGACCCCCAGCTTCGCGTAGAGCTGTATCCGCAGGGGCTATAAGCACACCGTCATCCTCGCGTTTACGTGGCTCATCAGCGTCAAGATGGGCGCCTGGTATGCCATTGCCTCCTCCCCCGCCAGGACCACCTCCTCCTTCGTCAAGGTCACAAAGCATGACTGGAACGGATCGGGTAGTCTCGCCATCGACGAGGAGGCCAGATCCCTTGTCGACACTGGGTCCGGTGCCCCCAACTCCAGCCGGTTGGGTGGATGGGGATCTTGCAGGAAGAGGAAGGTCTCCAAATCGTGGACTGTATATCGATACGTCAAGTGCTGGCTCAAGTACTGCCCCCGAGTCCAACTCAGGATCAAGTTCCTCCGGCTTAGCCAGAGCTCATGCCGTGAGAGGCGAGAAGAGCATCCGGGAAAGAAGGACTGAAAGCAAAACCAGGCGAAGTGCTGTTGCGGCAGAAGAATCTTCTAACAATCCTTGGGCCGAGTCAATCACGCCATCAGATATTGTTCTTCCGCAAACTCTACTTACCAGGAGACCAACGATTACCCGTTCTACTCCGAGGAGTGCAAGATCATACAACGTAGAAACACCGAAATCTGCAGGCAACTCGCAGCGTAATACACCAATCCAATGTGGGCCCGCGGGGGCTGGGTCCAGAGGTTCGACTCCTCGGCCGTCTCTTTCTTCGAGTCGACCAGAGGCCCCCACTCCACCCTTTTCTCCTGGGCAGATAAAAGCCGCGTTCACTGGAGCCTCTCCAGCTATACCGCCGAAGGGATTGCCTACCCCTCCACCGCAATCAAGACTAACCCTCAACTCTCCAAGTCGACCTGTTTCTCATATACTACACATGCCCAACACTGATGCAACCACCATCGCACCGCTCGTTCCTTCTCGTCCAGGCTCTCGACAGTCGAACCACAGCCAAATATCTCAAATATCTCCAGCGGAGCAATTCTCTCGTGCGGCCGTTGAAAGGCACCAAGCGTTTGCGCAGAAAGAAGCTGCCGCCGCAACTGATGGCGAGCGTGTAAGAATATTTGCAGAGTTTATCGTCACGGAATCTCGTTTGCGGAGGCAAAGATATGCTTCTGCAATCGATGAAATGGGTTCCGAGATCCTGGAGCTAACCCGTGACCTCTTCCGTCCGTACAGTAGCCCTCGGAAGGAGTCTACGGAATCACGATCAAGTGCGTGGACGCCAGAATCATCTACCGGACCGAGATCACCTGGAATTTCGGGACCGGGAATGAGATCACACAGAGGGTCTTTAATGTCAGCTTTGCACGACGTACCAAAGCTCCAGACAGCTGCGGAGTCATCTTCTAGCTCGAAGCAAGCTTCTCCTGCAACAGGAAGGCCCGAGTCATCATGGTGGACAGGTTATATGCCTTGTTTGTCACCGATTCCAAGTATGAGTGTAAGCGAAGTCCTTGATGGCTCGGATTCGAGAGGTAGACCTTCAAGTAGGTGGTGGGAAGTAAGCCAGGAAGGATCGAATGGCACTCCCTCGATGGACTTGAAGCGGTCTAAGCGAGAATCGAAGTATATGGGTATGCCACGAGAGCTACGGGAGGCGCTCCAGTATGAGAATGGTGACCCGAGAGCGAATCAAAACGGCAAAGGAATTGACATGTCCGAGTCGAATGAGTCCAACATCTACGGAGAGAATGAGTACCCCCCTGAAAAGGTTGGCTGGCACGAGGAAGAGCCATCGCAACCGATATTGCGTCAAGAAACGTCAAGATCCCCAGCTCCATTTTCGCCTGCACCGGCTACCCCAAATCCGAATCACTTGGACGTCTCCCGCCTTGTAACATTACCTCCTCCCTATCCTCGCCATCATCCAGCCGTCAACAACAACCACCCTGATCTAACTTCCATCCGCAGCGTCGTCCGAGTCCTCAGCGATTTCACCGAAGTCGAAGCCACCAAAGAACGCTTCTCAATCAGCAGTGCCAAAGTGCAAGAGGATCTAGCCGCCGAAATTTCTAAGCGACGCAACTCCCTCCGAAGCAACATCCAGCGTGAAGTGGGCTCTGGAAACATGACCTACGCGGACGCCGCAAAAGTCGAAGCAGCGGCCCTAGAAAACGAACAAGAGAAGACCAAAGCGGCCTCCAAAGTGGATTTCGAGCTCTTCCAATCCGAAGTTGTGATCCCCTTGAACGATTTACTGATGGATCGAGTGGCCCGCTCAACCGAACTCTTCACCCAGCTGCGGTCCAAGCTTTTTGTAGACGCGCAAGAGCAAAGCCCCAACCTCACGCAAGAAGAAGGTGATGAGCAACCCGAGCTTCTCGAAAAACTCACACTACTAAAATGGATCTTTGAAGCTCGCGAGCAGCTGCACAGAGAACTCTTCGACCTCCTCAGCGACCGCAACAACCGCTACCGAGACATGGTGATCACACCCTACCGACTCGCCGGCAACGCGGAAAAAGTCCAGAACGCCGAGCTCTTCTTCGCCGAAGACGCATCCAAACGCAGGCTAGCCTTCGAGCAGGAAGCGCTGAAACGCACGGAGGAGTTCATGGACGTCATCGAGGAGAACGTCGTGCGCGGCGTCGAGGTCCAGCTCTCGGCATTCTGGGACATCGCGCCCAGCCTGAGCCGCATCACTGAGCGCATCCCGACGCGCCTGGACGCGGCCTTTCAGATCCAGATCCCGGCCGCCGAGTACGCGGAGAACCCGAGCTACTGGGAGTTCCCGATGCAGTACCTGTACAGCCTGCTCGGCCACTGCGAGAAGAGCACGTACCAGTTCATCGAGAGCCAGACGAACCTGCTGTGCCTGCTGCACGAGGTCAAGAGCATCGTGACGCTGGCGAACTGCCGGCTCATGCGCACGCAGCGGGTGGCACAGGGCGAGGACGAGGAGGAGGTCGAGCGGGAGTTGAAGGCGGTAGAGGCCGATGAGGAGGTCCGGCTGACGGATGACTTGAAGGAGAAGGTGCGGTGCGTGGAGGAGCTGTGGAGCTCCGCGCTCGGGAGGGAGTTGACGGGTGTGAAGAGCAGGATCGCGAGGTTCCTGGTTGAGCAGGGGGGCTGGGACGAGGATGTATAATGTGATTTATCCCCTGGTTGGACTGCGGTATTGGATCGGGGTATTGGGAGAGGGAAAATGGGCTGTTCTTTCTTCTCTCGTTGTATCCATGTATCTACCTATAACCATTTACATCCACCAAATCTTTTCCGTGGAAATGTGGAGAGGGCGGGAGGATACTACCCGTCGCTGCCAAAGCCATAGCCATAGCTAAAATCCTCTTACGTATAATATATATAACAGCTCGAGTTTGCATATCTGTCGTGCACCATACACTATATATTACATTATACGAAGTACTAACGATAGCCCCGCTCTCCGCTTCATCGACGCTTGTGAGTCCGAGCAAGCCTCGCCCGCTTCCTCTTCGAGAACCAGATCTTCAGCTTCAGGATCACCCACGCCAGCCCCATGGCCACCGCGGCCACCGGCAGCGCGGTGGCAAAGTACAGCCGCATCGTGTGCGCCAGCGCGTAGACGTCGGCCTGCATGCTGAACAGACTGGCGATCAGGCTCATGGGGATGAAGAAGGACGCCAGCCAGGTCAGGCGTGCCACGTTCTTGGCGTCGGCGATGGCGTGCCGGGATTCCTCGATGGACATGGTGCTCGTGAGGATGGATGTCACGCGATCGATGCGCATCTGGTACTCTTGCATGTACGACAGGGCGCGGGCGAAGTCGACCCGGATCGCGGCGATGGATCCCTTCCCCTCCTCCGGGCCGGGCGGGCGCGCTGGCTGGATACTGCTGCTGAATCGCGAGGCCGACGAGGCGTGCTGAGCGCATGGGCATCCTGAGCTGCTGCCGACCCCGTTGATGGAGACCGTGGTGACCTCGCTGTCGTGGCACGGGAATCCGAAGACCTGTCGTATGCTGTCGGTAAGCATTTCCTGGTACAGGGGGACCAGACGTCTCCAGACGTGGAGCCTGCTGAGGGCCCCGTCACTGCTCGTATCTATATTCTGGGCGGCGAAGTTGTCCGGGAGTGAAATTTCCCAGTCGATGATTCCGAGACGTGTGCGGATGTAGCTGGCCATCGTGAGCCACTCCGCGCAGACGAGGTAGAGGAGGGCTCTGGTTGGGGCGTGGAGGTCTGTCTTTGAGCTTCCGGAAAGGACTGAGGTCGGATGATGGGTCAGAACGCTGCCTATGGAGGCGGAAGGTTGCTTGGCCCAGTAGATGAAGTCGTTGAACAGAGAGTCTCGAGGCGGCCCGGCGGGGATGCGGGGAGAGTGCATGCTGGGTGTCGATGACCAGTTTCGGTATCCGTGCCAGAGAGGCGTTCCCTCTTTTATCGTGGGGTCGAGGAGGAGGATACCTGGTGAGCTTGTGAGCTCCAAGAAAACACTGGAAATATGTGCAAGAACGGCCATGGAGGAGGACTCACCAACGGCACTGTTACCATCCTGCCCCTTCTTCAACCAAAAGCTCGTCCTTGTCCTCATGACTCCCACAATCGCATCCTCCGAATCCCAAACCGCCTTATTGTTCAGGTCGTCATCTGGCCTCCGGAGAACATTGAAATTCGATGCTTCTCTGATTGCTGCCTTGAAAGATTGGGGAGTCTTGTAGTACCGAGCCGTCACATACCGAAGCTGTATCCAACGTCGGTGCTCTTCAGCTGACTGTAGGCTCGGAGGATCTTCCCATCGATCGCGAACGTTGTACCATGCGTAGTCCACGATGTGTTCTCGGAAGAAAGCAGGCTCGATGTCGAATTTGGAACCCAGAGCCTCAATCACGTCTCTTGAAAGATCTTCCACCACGTAGAGCTGTAGATTACACCTGCCACCTCTTCCTCTTCCATCACCTCTGATCTCTCCTTCTCCGTCAGGTCTCTGCTCGTGCTCATTCTCTCTCTCCCCTCCACCTGTGCTTTCGTCGTTGAGGGCTACATGGAGAGCCGACACGTTCCTGCAATGCTTCTGCTCCACGTTGCCGGAAGCCATGTACTTCAGAAGCATAACATTAGTTCTCGCGGCCCTCTCAGCGCGTTTTTTGATCCGCTCCTGACATTCCAAGGGGTGGAGGTCAGGCCCCTGTGGTGGAGGGGTAGTAGTGAGCTCCTTCCAGCGCAACGGAGTGGTCCCGACCTCCATGAAATCAGCCAGGAGACGGAGATGCGGCCATGTGTTCGATAGGGCCTTCACGTGAGTAAGATACGGAAGGGGTTTTTTCACATCGTCTCTGCATCGAGTCAGTTCTAGTTGCTGTAGCTGGAGTCTGTCGATGGTCTGGATCTTACGGGAGAATTTCCCACTCCTTCTGCAACTGCCTCACCTTGTCAGGTGAATACACATCTCCTATCTCGTAGGAGGCATCTCGCAGCTCCGGGCGAAAGAACTCGTATATTTGCTTCTTGGCCACCATAGCCCATTCTATGCCCAGCTCCAGGTCAAGAAGTGGAATGGAATATCGACAGTCGCGCCGGAGATGATGTGAAGCTCTCGAAAGCCGAGAAGGATGGATGCAGTCTCGCTATATAGTCATCGATCAACCACCTTTTGCGGCTGAATGAGGCTTGCTCTGTCTTTAACGAAGCAAAATGATTGGATGCAGGGGGAGGGAGGCTGATGCTATCACAAACGTGATCATGCAGGAGGGAGGAGAGTGATTGGTAAGAAGTTACTGCGCTTCGGAGGGGATATTAATAAAGTATTGGGGGCTGGATACGGCTGAAGACATGAATCTGGTCAACGGAAGAGAAGCTGGGATTTTCTTGAAGAGTGCAAACCTATCGGTGGTATGAGTGATCAAGACTATTTTTTGTATTGCTCCTTGCATGGTTGCATATATGCTGATTGAGGTGGCTGCGTTGTCGGGACATGGAAGACCTGTGAGTGAATGCGTGATATGTGATTGTCATGGCTGATTACCAAGGGGTGTTGATAGGTATGTTCTGTCTCTCCCCCCAGTTTGACTGCAAGATTTGATTGAGGCTGGACCCGATAGATATAGCGCCTACCACGAGGAGAATCCCAAATCCTTTCGAGAAAAAACCATGAGGACTGCAGTAACAGCAACAGAAACAGCAACGATCAGCTTATTTTTTCGATCGGAATTCAAACTGTAGTTTAAGCTTGCCTGTTATCCTGATCATGGTAGCTTATGGCGACAGGATACCTATCATTCAGACTGCGTTAGGCCGGATGGGTTGATCTGACCAGCCCGGCATTGAAGCGACTCCAACCGTTTCCTTGGCTCGATATCCCATACAGGGAGATGACTCGGAGCAAGCGCTTCAAGGCAGATTCTCAAGGCCGAACATACTACTCACATGAAAAGGACAGAGGTAGACAACCCGACATGTCGGTAAAGTCAACAAAGAAACTTGGCAATGCGAAGAAAGCGGAACGGAAGAAGAAGGAAAAATAAGAAGAGGGAGCAACCAGGGCTTTTGAAAATCCCCGAGATGCAAGACATCCAATGCAAAGCCCACAAACTCTATACATAATACAACCCCCTTCAAAAATACCATTTTATCAACAATCCCACGAGCGCTTCTCGAAGCCTGCAAACTAGGGGAGTTAGCAGGAATACAGCTTTCTCATTGTACCTTGCAATTCTCTAGCGCTGAAAGCTAGCCAAGTATCGTTTAGAGCCTTAGAGCATGTTAAGTAAAATAAAGCTTTCAAAATCGTGGTCGTATCCTTGCTCTCGAAAACTTCTCGCGAGGTTTCCGAATCCATCAGGTCGTTAACCGCCTGAGCCACCCTTCCTTGCCCCCCTTTGATGAATTTACGACAAAAGAGAGCCAAAACCGAGTCTTTAAAAGCTTTTTACGTTGATTCAACATTTGAGATCTGAAAGCCAAGTATCACTGTTGACTTATAGGAAAAGAAGGTAATTTTTTATAAGAAAAATCAACCCTCGCTCTTCCCCCCCCCAAAAAGCAGAAATGTTTACAAGGAACTTGAAGGAACTTACAAGTACCAGTGTGGAAAGAAGGAGGTCACCGAGACATCTCCCGAAACTCTACGCTCTCGATCATCGCGGAGCTTTCTCAAGTAAAACCTGCCATTGGAATCCCGAGAACCCAGCCCTTACGTATGAAGTGTACTTACAGACCGACATCCAGCGGCTCAAGCGCACCAATCTCACCGACCAACCGATCCATGCCAGCCTGAACGACGGACGCCTGAAGGCCCCCCCCCCCCCCCCCAAACTCACACAAGCCCCTCTCCTACTCCGGGCACTTGTAGTAGCCGTCGCCTCCGCTGCAACGCTTGCCGATGTTATTCTCGCAGGATCCTACAGCGCATCCGTATCCCTGATGTCTTCTGTTAGTTCCTGTGCTCGAGACTTGTATGCAAAAAAGAAAAGGGAGATATATATATATATATTTTAACTTACCACGTAATTGATGTAGCACATGGGGGTTTTCATCGCGTTGTTTTCGGGGGCGTCGCACCAGCCATAGTTTTCGGCGGATACCGAAGAGGTGAATGCCAAGGCGGCGAAAAAGAGTGAAACGGAGAATTGCATTTTTTTGGCTAGGCTTGTGTAGTATTGAACCGAGAAAAGAAGATGGTAGTGGTAGAAGGAAATGTGTCTTGGAAATGGATCGAGAAGAGGCTATGAGAGATGAAGAGGAGGGAGAAGAATGGTCACATATATATATATGATTTTACCAACTCCATCGAACCAACTGAAACACCTCTCATGTTGGTCTAAAAATTATTGCACTTGAAGTGAAACTTCGATGGCGAATTTAAATCGAGTTTTACTTTGTAGCACCCACTTTATCCAGAAGTTGGAACCATAGGAGAGAGTATTCAAGGAGAATAGAGGGATTTCGAAGCTGGCGTATCGTACTTCGTTATTCTAAATATAAAGTCGGTGCTGCAGCCAAGAGTCTCAGAGAAGTAGACGGTACTAAAAATAAGGATTATTGACCTTCGAACTTATTTAGCATCAAAAGCATTATCATTTCAACTTGTAAATATTTTATTCGGTTTGGTTCAGCTTTAGTCCGAAGCTCATCTTATGCCGTGATCTCTTATTTATTATGCAATGGTATTCCGCTAGCGATGTTTGATATCTCTGAAATATCTCCAATTTAACAAATATCGATCGTAACGGCTACAGCGCGATGTTGTTATTATTATACTGTGATCACCGCCGGCGCCGTTCTATTCGAGCTATTCAAAAGCATTACCAAGACCATTGTTTCCAAGCTCGTAAGATTATCATTAACCGGCTAACAAATCTTCAGTACAAATTATTTGTTTCTTTACACTCGCAGACGCTTCGACCTTGACGGGTATAACGATATATACCTTACCTATCTTGTGTCGAATACATGCGGCTCAGCAAGGCATAGATTCGTAGTCACTCATCTTGAATATCAAGAAATAGTATTAATCACAATACAAAAGCAAGACATGCGTGATATCAGGTTCGTAAGATCTTATACTCGGTACTGCGAATTCCAAGAGTTCTCCACTTTTTCTTGGAGTGATCGACGTGCAATTTTTACACGTAATCGTCGGCTCGCTTAGGTGGGCCTCCTTACAGCGTTTCAGTCTTAGTCGGTATAAGCGACTGCGGATCGGAAGCGAGTGCGGATTTTTCGAATGTGTTAGAAATTCTTATATACTATAGCAATTACTATTACAACCCTAAAATATTTGTATAAATAATTAATCTGCGATTATATCTTCTTCTGAAACATCTAAAATCGTATCATTTGATGAAACATTTAACCATCGATTGCTATTTTTATTAAAATCTAACTCGTCTTTTACCTTACGCAACGAATCGTTTGAATCTCTATTACTATTAGAATTAAAGCTATCGCTATCGATATTAATATTAGAAAAAAGAAAAACATCTTGCTTTAAAAAAAGGGTCTCTAACAATATCGGTTGTAATTAGTAAATCATCGTTACCGAGAGAAAGTTTAAGTTGAAGAAGAGTTGGTCGAAGAATACCTTTTTTACGAGGCCGCAAAATTTGACGCTCAAAAGGTTCTTGCATCTACCAAATCTCTTTCGAATCGAGAATTAAAATGAGTATTGCATCGTCGTTTTTAATGATTAAGCTTCTAGCAAAGCGTTTTCGTATAACCCTTTGACGCCCGCGCTCAACTAAGCGATTCCTCTACGATATTCAGCATCTCTTTCCTCTTTTTTTAAATCTTATCGACGCGTTATTCTTTTGCAGCAGATTCAAGATTTTCTCTACCTTGCTGCTGAAAAGCAAGCTTGTTATCGATTAATCATAATACGATTTTCAATGTTTCGGGAAAAGGTGTGCTCGAAAATTAACTATTCGTATAAGTATTTCTTTACTTAATTATAATAGTGATTGCTATAATATCAAAAAAATTCCGATGTACTCGAAAAATCCGTGCTCGCTTCCGATCCGCAATCGCTTCTGCCGACTAAGACTGAAAGGATGAAAGGAGGCTCACTTAAGCGAGCCGACGATTAAAAACAGCACTATTAAATCGACGAGTAATCATCGGAACTCGTGATGATATCTTTGCCTCGCCTCTTGATTTGTTTCGACGCCATTGTCAAGCTCGGGATCGCTGTTACGTTAAGCTGGGAAGTTACTGTGTGTTTTTTTTTTCTTTTTCAATATTGCTTCTCCTTTTTTTTATCGTCTTG